GACAGATGTAAGTTTATTGTATTAAAATTTGGTTTGTCTAATTCAAACCATCTCTGAGTAACAGAGTCAAATGCAAAAAGTGTTGCAACTGTCCCTGGTCTCCCCCGAGATTGGGGTGTCTTCCCCTGCAGGTCATGTATGCACATTCTTTGCCATTCTTGTCACRTAAAAGAAACACTTGATTCATCAAACCTGTTCTCCTTCTTCCACAGCTTTGTGTTGTGATACCCAGACGTAGGCACACACACAAAGCAAGTCCAAAACTGACTGAAATACCAATGTACCCCTACGCAGACTTTTAAGCAACAGAGTTACGCTGATGGTTTAAAGAAAAAGAATTCTATCCAAACCTCCTCAGCATTCTGAACCACAAACACAGGATTTAAAAAAAAACATGGACCAGGTTTAACTTCTTCCGTCATGGTGAACTTTGGATGCCAATAATTCCAGAGCTGCAGTTCTGGAAATATTTTATCCATGAGGTATGAGTCATGTACCTTAAACATGAAGGTGATTCCCTAACAGTTGTTGCCAAAACACTGGCACACAGCAGACGAGGGTTTCCCCATGTCATGATGATTTTTTTTGTAGTTCATTCTTCAAAACTGGATCTGCAACAATCTTTTTTGTCCTCCTTCACCACATCAGTTTCCACAGTTTTTATGACGCACAGCACACTACACATTTTCCTCCTGAGTGGATTGCCTCGATGTATAAAGTTCAAAGTGTGCTGTATTTGGCCAGTTTTGAAGCTTAAATAAATGGAAACCAACATGTATTTTGACTGTGGTGAAAATCAAAATTCACAATAAGGATAATATTCTGTAAGATATTAAACAGACCCTCCTCCTGTGGAGACTTCTCTGCAGCATACAGTATGTTATTCTGTTTAGTTTAGACCTATTGTCCTCATTCAAGATACTTTTTGTTTCACAAGTTGATTCTTTAAGTTTGGGAAATGCTAATTATTATTTTTAAATGAGATCCTATTTTAAAAGGCAGACTACAGAGTGTTCCAACTGCAGGGGGAACACACTTCTAAGCATCCCTGGTRATGTCTATTTAGGTGTCCTGGAGAGGAGGGTCCGTCGGATCGTCAAATCTTGGATTCAGAAAGAGCAGTGTGGTTTTGGTCCTGGCCGTGAAACACTGGACCAGCTCTACACCCTCAGCAGGGTCCTGGAGGGTGCATGGGAGTTCGCCCAACCAGTCTATATGTGTTTTGTGAACTTGGAGAAGGCGTTTGACTGTGTCCCTCGGGGACTCCTGTGGGGGGTACTCTGGGAGTATGGGGTACCAGGCCTATTGRTAYGGGCTGTTAGGTCCATGTATGACCAGTGCCAGAGCTTGGTCCAAGACTTGTGTTTCTCAGCTGACCTCGGAACGACTTTGGATTCCTCTGGATGAGCTGGCCCAAGTGACTGGGGAGAGAGAAGTCTGGGTCTCTCTGCTTAGGCTGCTGCCCCCGCGACCCGATCCCAGATAAGCAGAAAAAAATGGAATGGAATACGAGGTCCTACTAATTCATCTTGCTAGGGAAAGTTAAACAAAAGCTCAGGTCTCTGTAGGATAATAGTAAATGTATACATTAAATTCATAAATTTAAATAAAATATTTGCCAAATTTAATGAAACACTGGTTAAATCCTTGAATTAATGCATGTTTTGCCTGATTGATTTATAAGTCAGAATCAGCCGGTTCGGATGTTTTCAGTCCATTAAATGGACATTATTAGCGGTTGTCTGTCCCATAGAATGGCTTCAGACTGTCCTGACAGTGCCCACTAATGGGTTACCAGTGCCATATACGTTGGAATGCAACAATCTGCTACCGCCGGAGTCTGGTCTACTTTATCGTAGCCCATGTCATTTTCTCTAAAATTAACCTTAGTGGTTTTATGTCTCATATTAACCAGATAGCATAAAAAACCTTAGTGGGTTTGTGCCTCATATTAACCAGCTGAGAGTCTGAAGCCATTCTATGGGACGGGGAACTTACTAGGGGGCACAGTCGAGACAGTCTGAAGCCATTCTATGGGACTGATAACGGCTAACGTGCATTTAATGGATGATAACATCCAAAGCGGGTGTCAGGATTAAGAAGCTTTAACAAATAACTCCCTTTGGCTATGCTATTATGAACAATATTCAAAAACACAAGTAAAATAATAAAACTGTGCAAATAATCATATCCCTTCAGAAAGACTGTTTCTTTACTTTTTCAGCTATTGGTTACATAATGTTTTTTTCTTGGCAGCTGTAAAAAGAAAACAGTGACTGAAACTTTGAACAAAGCTGTTCATGTTCAGACTCGTTCAAGAAATGTACACTCATAGTTCACTGGCACATTTATGACTCTATCTCTGTTTCTTTCATAGTTGCTTTGGAAACGAGTCAAATCCCTCTTAGACGTGTTTTTCACACCGCCGTCCTGCCCAGCAACTTCCAGCTGCACTTTCCTCCACACCTCTATTGAAAAAGAGACACAAGCTCATGAGAAAATACCCAGGAGGATGTTTTTTTTTTGTTTGTTTCCTTTGAATTTATTCATTTTTTATTCCTAATTCTGAATTAGCTTATCTGCTCAGCGGCTTAATTGTTGGAGCTGCAACCTCACCTGTCTAGAGTTTACATGTTGTCCTTGAGCCAACGATGGYTTGAGCCTCCCAAACCACAAACATGTTAGACTAATAAGTAACTCTAWATTATTTCTAGATGTGTGTGAGTGTGAATGATTGTCTCTGTTCGACTCTTTGTGACCCTGATTAACTTGTGACCTGTCAAGAGTTCTCCGCCCCACCAGCCCCTGCACGACCAGGAAAGGAGAAACCAGGTATGGATGGAGTTAGCAGGCCTGAGTCKTCTTTCAAGGATTAACACTTATCAAGTCTGGGTCCTAGATCTAAGCTCAAGGTTTATGATTTCTCTATCTGCTTCAGCAGAACAAATGTTTATTTCCTGAAAGCAGACTATCAGCCATTATTTAGTCATCATTTACAAGTGCACTGTTATTTTTAAWCTTCATGTTTCTCAAAGTAAAATTAAATATCCGAGTTCATTTCAGAGATAAGTTCTGATTTGTGTCTGTTTGAGATCCTTGTYTGCAGCGGCTCGTGCTTTTCTGTGATTCTTGCTTTCTTCTGTTGTGCTGTCCAGAAAGTTTCAGAAGGTAAAGGACGTCAGGGCTGATTTTATCTGTCTGTCGTTTTGTTTTATTTGTTAAAACACACCGAATGTGTAAAACGAGCTGCTCGTTCTGTCAATCAGTCACACGGTTGTTGCCTGCACCTGGTCCAGAGGTCAGCGGAGATATCGCCTCCTTTCTGACTCCTTTTCTGTCTGTAGGTCTGCCTGCTGAGTATCTGTCTGTCTGTCTGACAAAGTGCGCACCGGTGGCTTCGTCATGGATTGGATCAAAAGGGCACAGAAAAACAAGAAGAAAATCATTGTGAGTTTTCCTATTTGGGCTGATTTTTTATGCAAAATTTTCATTTTTGCCTAAACCTTTAAAGCTACGTAACCTACTTTGAACTGCTCATAATGGCAGAAATTAATTACATAATGAACAATTTAGTAATATGAAAAGAAAATTTAAATAGTCTAAACTCATCAGTGCAAATCTAGTGTTTGTTTTCTTAAAACTGTTGTGATAATAAAAATGCTAAATCTACACCACTGCTACTAATTTTGTCTTTGAATAAAAAGATCTTAAAACATAAAAAAGTTAAAGGTTGTCAACATTCAACCAGATTATTCCTCAGCCAAAACAAACMGTGAAAAAGCAGAAGCATCATTGCTTTAAAATAAGTTTCTGCTCTGTAAATCAATTTCCTTAAGTTCTAATGAAATATCAAAACAAGCATGAGGGCTCTGTCAATATGAATGGTGTTAAGTTTTTATGATGTTATAAAGTAGATACTCTGTCAGGACAGCTGCACTGCAATTCCCTTTAAATAAAGATTATATCAATTTGAACAGAAGATAATTACAAGCACACACAAATAACGTGTTAACATGTTAATTAATGTGCTTGTTGTGTTGATGTATCTCTCTTTGACAGATTGGTGTCTTGGCGGTAGTKATTGTAACTTTAATCCTTGGTCTTGGACTTGGTCTTGGACTGGAATTGCAGAGATGCAAAGATAAAGGTAACATTGCAMACAAGCACACGTGCTCATTTACATGTAGGTTTTTAACATTTATATATGYGTATTTTAATATTCTCAGTTTTGGGTCACTTTTGGAAAAGYCATCAAATTTCAGCCAGCAGGGCCTGTGAGTTCGTCGYTGCTGGCCCYGGGGGTTACTGTGTGTGGTCGCTGGTGGGGCTCTCCCGGCTCTCTCCTGTGGTCCCGTTTGTGGGGTGGGTGGGCGGCCCTTCCGGCACGGATGTCTCTGGGGCTCCGTGCTTGCGGTCGGGGTCTTTGGCGCTGGTCTCCCTTATGTTGGCTTCGGGCTTTSCGGGTCGSGTCTGTGGTCCTCCACAGTCACTTTGAAACATTCCRTTGGAGAGRTCTTGTAAATAAATGCATGCTCACAGCCGCACAAAAACAGTGTTTACATCCTGGGTTTTCTATTCGGACACTGACTGAATGGTATGTGCAT